ACATGAGCATTTTATCTTTTTAAGGTGCATATTGGTAATATCTAATGATAGTAACAGTAACTCATTAAAGAGATAAAGGGTTCTGTAGTTATAATAGTCAAATATAGTTATTAGCAAGTGATATTTACACATTTGGGGAATAAACTGTGATGGATATTAAGAATATACAACATTATGTATTCATAGAAATTAGATTTTATATTTCCAAAGTGTCAAATGCGATCAGTAAATATTTTGAAATATGCTGAGGATCTTTCACAAACTATCCATATCATATTTCTATAAATAATACAGTTACAAATTTATAAAAGAATTTCTTTTTTTTTTTTTTTTTGGAGACAGGGTCTCGCTCTGTCACCCAGGCTGGAATGAAGTAGCATGATCATAGCACGGTATAGCTCTGTCTCTCAGGCTTCCAAGTAGCTGGGACTTCAGACATGTGCCACTACGCTTGGCTACTTTTTCAAATTTTTAATGGAAAGCAGGTCTCACTATGTTGCTCAGGCTGGTCTCGACCTCCTAAGCTCAAGTGATCCTCCTGCTTTGGCGTCCCAACGTGCTGGGATTACAGGCCTGAGCCACTGCACCTGGCAGTTACTCTTTTTTGTACTGCTCTGTTGATTCAACAATCTTATCCTTCTAGCAGAAAGGGAAAAGAAAGAATGATAGGAAAATTTTTATTTCATAAAAACTTAAAAACATAATTCTTGAGATCACTCTTCAACCTTCTTTGTTTAAATTCTTTAAAATAGAAAACTTAGATTATGTAATGCGAATAAAATAAGCCTGATTATTCCTGTCGTCTTGAAATTTCAGTCTTTGTGTTATTGGAAGAAGTTTGTTTGAGTTTCAATATAAAATGGTAAAAGAGAAATTTAAAAACACTTAAAATGAGTCTCCTTGAATTTCCAAACATATAATTGAATTTTCTTGCAATATCAAGTAAGAAAGGTGGAAAAGAAATTTCAGCACTGTTATAAACTCTTGAAAAATGTGGTTAATAACGAAAGTGCTAACCTACTCTTAAACTATGCAATAAAATCTTACGTGGAAACATAGCTGAAGTAGAAATGAAAGGAAAACTTTTTGTTATATTTTCTAGAATGCCAAATATTTGTATTGCATTGCTTATATAAGAAAAGCAGTTTCTTTAGAGCAGCAACATTTAGTTTTAGTTATTTAGCTTTATTTTTTGCCCAATAGTTTTAGCTCTAGTTTGCTTAGTAGACATTCTAAGTGGATTCTTCTTCTTTTCTTTATGAATTAAAGATGTAAATACATGGCTATGGCAAGACCGTACACTATATATGCAGAATTATGTCTGAAAGAGTATTTTTCTTAGAGACAGCATGATCGGAAAATTATGTTGGGAAGATGGAATACATACAATATATATCTACATTTCTGAAAGGAAAACAATTAAAACTGAATAATGGTGAGATACAAACATTTAAAATTGTGTTTGATTTTTGCAACAAATTTTGGCCTCCTGAAAGTTACTATTTGCAATAAAAGATTTGATTATTTTTCGCAGAAAAAAATAATTTATTCAGTCTATATTTTGATCTTGTGCTTACATGGAGAAGCTTGTTGAACTGATTTCATTTTGAATTAAATCCATCTTTCAAATGTCGTTTTTATTTCTGTATGATCAATGGAGGTTTGGAAGTATTTTTCCATATGGTCAGTTTAGATGGATAAATTTAAAAAGTGGGTTATTTTCTTTTATCAAAAGACCGTGCTTCTGAATCAAACCATCAAGAGATGCGAAATTAGAGAAATGCTTTAGTTTTGTTTAATAAAAGAGTGATACAGTTTCTCTTAATACAAATTTTGTAATAGGAATTTTAAAAGGAATACTTGCTAATAAGATACTAGGAGAGTGACTTTTTATTTATAATCTTGGATACAAGTCCTATCAACTTATTAATGAGGCAGCCGGGTGGGAGGGCATCCCCGGAAAAACTCCAACCAGGCTGCGCACTAGAAGGAACGCACACTGGGGTGGAGCCACGGAAGTTCGCACTGATTGCAACCAGGAGGAACCTGGTCCTTCCTCTACCTGTGTGGAACCTGGAATTCAAACTGCGAGGTGAGAAGCGCACTAGCAGGAGCTCTGGCCTTGTGGAGAGTCCCTGTTCCCTCTTTTTTCTTTTTTGCCCAATAAACCCCATTATTCTCACCTTCAATTGTCTGGAAGCCTAAATTTTCATGGCTGTGGGACAAGGACCCCATCTTTAGATGAACTAAGGAAAAGTCCTGCAACATTATTTAGTATCAGTTCGTGGGGTTTGTTATATAGGCTGCCTATTTTGAAATGAAAACAATTTAAAGTTGTTTACATCTTTTAAAAAACTTACCATCTCATGACTGCCAGTTTTCTTCATAAGCTGTTTCATTTCTTTTGATGTAAGGGATATTTTGCCTCCTTTTCTGACACTTTCAGCCCTGTTCCTAGTCTTCTACCCCTCTGCTAATCCCTCTTCTTGGTCACCTTCTCTCCTCTAAGCCTGTTCTAGAAGAAGAATTGACCAGTCTGATTGTCATAAGATGGATATTAGTTAGCCCCATTTTATTAGTGGTTGGGATTAGTGTGCCTCAAATTTCAAACCAAAGTTCAGACTTATGAGGGAATGCTCATTTCCTTTCTGAATTTTTAGGTTAAGCAGCTCTGATCATCTTGGTTTTGAGAGAACACAGAATATTTTGTTCTAAGCTGCATTCTCCAGTCCAGCTTTTATTTAAGCACCTTGGGTTGGGTGAGGATGATCCTAGGAATGTCTTGGCATGTGTTCAGCTACTAAGAAATCAAAGAAATTCTCCCCATTAGGCAACCTGCTCTCATATTTTCAGTGTCTTACAGGATATATGGTAGAGTTCAGGCACCAAAAGCCCACCGGTTCCACAGGTTCTTAGAGAAAAGGCACATTTTCGAAGGGTACAGTCATATAAATAGGGAAAGAACCCTCTCTATTCTTTTTATTTCTGACTTGTTTAAATATCTTATGCTTTAAATAAAACATAAAAAGTAGGAAATATCTAGTTTCGTTTTTTATAGTACTAAAAATAAACTGCTTAGAATATGTTGCCACTTAAAACATATTTAATATCAAATAATAGCAGGAAATAATTCAGGGCAAAATTTTAAAAACTTAGTAAGGCAAAGCTAAAAAATGCATTCATAGATCATTTTATTCTATTAAGATTTAAAAGGTAGATTGAAATTTTTTGAATATAAATAAATAATACTATGAATTTAAAAGATAGTTACTAACACTGTATAGAAACATATATTAATCATAAAACATGATGGTTTGTATAGATACACATATATGTCTTAAAAACAATTTTTCTTGGGACTTCATTCTTGGAGAGATTTGATTCATAGCTTGGATGCAAAAATTAACATGATGGATGATTTCCCCAACTGTGGACAAACTTTCAGAAGAAACCTAACTCAAGCCTCCTTATTTTATAATGGAATCAAATATACTGATGGGAATTCTGTTTACATTTTTAAGTGTTTTACTCAATACTTAAAAATGTAGGCTGGGCATAGTGGCTCACACCCATAATCCCAGCACTTTGGGAAGCCGAGGCCGGTGGATCACCTGGGGCCAGGAGTTCCAGACCAGCTTGGCCAACATGACGAAACCCCGTCTCTACTAAAAATACAAAAATTAGCCTGGCATGGTGGCATGCACCTATAATCCCAGCTACTCAGGAAACTGACACAGGAGAATTGCTTGAGACGAGGAGGTGGAGGTTGCAGTGAGCCGAGATTGTGCCATCGCACTCCAGTGCCTGGGCAACAAGAGTGAAACTCCATCTCAAAAAAAAAAAAAAGAATGTAGACAGAGTATCTATTCACTGAATGCCTATTTTGTAAGGTTCTGTGTTGGAAATACTGTAGAGAAGAAAACTGATCTAGTTCCTGCCTTTATAACATATTTGTAAATTAAAGGATAGAAAAGTGGCCAGGACAAGTCTTGAACTCTTTGTTTTCTAATGCAAAACTAAAGAAGAAATTAACAAGAAGACGAATTCAGTGATGGAAACCAAAAGTGGAAAAAAAAAATCCTACAAGTTAGTGAAAAGAAACACTAAACATGAAGTTGTATGAGAGACATTGTGAAAGTGGAACAACTAATCACATTTTACTGAAGATAGTAATCCATGCTCTGCATGTCTTAAGGAGACATGCATTTTAGACATATGTGAGCTGCTTTAGAAAGAGTGATCTCTCAAAGAAGACCTCTAAGAGACACTTGCATCTGCTTATTTCTCAGGATCAGACATTAATCTATAAATTTAAAGAAATTACTTCTCCAAGGATGTTATAGAAGTTAGTAGCATTGTAATTTGTAATTTTTTACTGAGGAAGTAGGTGGTTAAGGCATCAGAACTCTAAAGTGGTAGGTGTAATGTTCTTCCTACACAAATTACAGGTATTTTCCAGTTAAAACTTTAGACTTTCTAAGTGCTAGTTGCTTGTACTGCCCACAAGTCTATGGTACCTGAAGTACATGGGAGCAGAGATTTGTGTTACTGTTTATTCATGCAAATAGCTTTTAGAATAATAGAAGTCAAGGTAATTGAATGCAATTTTGGTGCTGCTGTGTAAACATAGACAATGCATTTAATCTCTTTGAATCAGTTTTCCTCAACTATAAAATGAAAAATTTAGATATATCACCTCCCAGATCACTTTTTATTTAGGCTACTGTTGTTATTCTGTGACTCTGCAAATATTAATAAATTTATTCTCTTATTTATTTCTCTGAAAGCTATATTGATCCAAAGTATATTGTTTAGTGACAAGCTGTTCCCCTTTGAGTTTGATAGGGGGTTATTTATGTCTAAGTCTAAATCTAAAAAATGTATTTGTATACACCTGGCAGAAGGAAAGAAACAGTTGAATAAATTTAGATAAAAGAAAATAAAACCAGAAATAAAATCAGTATGAATTAATGCCATATATTCATATGTTATTGTTACAGGTGGGCAGCAAATTCGTCACTAATTTTCCAGCAGCCAATGAAATAAAAGAAAACAAGGATTTAAAAGACTCATTGAATAAAAAGGTATGACTTTTCCTGAGGAAAAAAGCTTTTTTTTTTTTTTTTTTTTTTCCTCAAAGAGAACAGTGTTTAATATGGTAGATAACATCCTCAATATCTCAGAATTTTATACAACTGAGTCTCATAATATTTTCAACAGCTTGACAGTGAATGTAAAAGCACTCATTTGGTGTGACATTATACCATTGAACTAGACAGGATTTCTGCGTATTAGCTCTAATGACATTTTGGGCTGGATGATTGTGGTATGGGGCTGCCCTGTGCATTGCAGGATGTTTGGCCACATTCCTGACCTCTACTCTCTGTATTCCTGTAGCAACCCTCCCTCAACCCCTGTTGTGATAAGCGAACATGTCTTCACACATTGCCAAATGTCCTATAGGGGGCAAAATCACCCATAATTGAGGACCACTGAACAGCAGTAATTAACTAATTTCCATTTATTCAATTACAATGGTAAAAAATGCAACAGTCAAGAAATAAAGAAACTGGTTTGGGGCTTAAGAAATGCTTGTCTGAGGAAGTAAGACCCAGTTTCCTGAAGAGGGAGGAGTGGTTAACTACATCAAATGTAGGATAAGGAGTATTCCAAACAAATGTAATGTGTAGAACGTACACTGGCCATGAAGTGGGAAGGCAGATGTGGCTTGCCAAGAAAGCAGTGTTAATGACTAGGATGACAAAAGCAATCTCCTTTTATTGTGCAGTCAAGAAATGTTGACTGAGCAGTGGTCTCCTGGTAGACTTTAGGAAGATGGTATCTAGTTTTTTTTACCTAGGAGCTTACAATCTGGTAAAGAATGACATCAACAACAACAACATAAAACTGGGTAATAAAGCTAATTTGTTAGGTACTTCCTCTAAGTGCAATGGGATAATGAAACAGAAAGAAGCCAATATATACTGGGGAGATTAGGAAGGGTTGTGATGAAAATTGCTGCTTGAAGGACTAGTCTGACTGTCACAACTGGATGGTGGAATAAGGGTGTTTAGTAGGACAGGAACAACATAAAGAATGACCGGAGGTGCAAATGAATTTATAAACTGGTCAAGGACACAATGAATTCCAGAAATTGTTAGAAATTCTGGAAGTTTTGAGCTTCCAAAGCCAGCGCTATCTATTTCATGGCCAGGAGAATATGACCTGATTTTTTTCATCATTTTAGAAACAGATTAAAACTGATAATGAAGGTTAGCAGTGAATGGGGAGGAAACAAAACAAAACAAAAAAGCAAAATAGCTGCTATGTTAGAAAGCTGGAGCAATGGTAGAATCTCTACAGTACTGTCTGTCTTAGTGAAGTTGATAGATCAGTGGGCTGAATGAATCCATAAAAGTTTCTACCCCTTTTTTTAGGTAAGATCCTAATACTGAGATCCTAACACTGAAAAGCTTGAGGTGCAGAGCAATTACCTTAATTACTTTTCTCCTAGAGATGACTCAGAATGAAAGTGGGGTGGTGTATTAGGTACTGGTCAAAATTGGGGTGATTCTCTTTATTAAACTGAGACTAACTTCAGTTTCTAAAAATATAAACGGGGCAAAAATTTAAAATAAAAAGGACCTGGAGACCAGTCAGATGCTTTTTTAACCAACTTTTATCCGATCCATAAAAGTTTACTATGCAGCTTTCAGATATTGCCAAATTGGTTTCAGCTCTAGCTCTCTGCTTTTCAAGTGGGAGAGTTGGGAGCATCACATTTTTGGGAGAGTTGATACAAAGAGCTTTGCTGTTTTAAAGAAAAGGAAAGATGTTAGCCCTGTCTATAACCTCTTCTGTGGTAGAAATGATCAACAGTGATGACATCCAAAACATAGGCCATTATTTCACATAAGGAAATTTCAATGAGCAGGTGACTCTCTCCTTTCAGTTATTACCTTAACTACCAGAAATTTTTAACAGTGATTTCTCACAAATATTTTAAAATAATTACATAGGTAACTTACTGCAAATATGTGGAATGTATCTTTTAACCAAAAATGCACACATTTTTATGTGACTTAGGAATATTTTTTAATAGTCAAATTATTTCTATTTTTGCCAAGGATTAAAAAACATTAGAATATTGTGATAATCAAGGTTCTTCATGCCTATCAACAGGAATTGATGAAAAACCTTTTTGAATAGACAGGACAGGAGTAGGTAATGAAAATACTGAAAATCAGAGAGGTGAGTTTAAAAATGATTTGATGGGCAAGAAAGAAGCATTGATGTTTTGTGACTAAAGTAAGGAATACAAAGTTTAGGGGAGGTAACCTGGCAGGTGCTCATGAAGAGAGAGAGAGTATGAGGACAGGAAAATCTGCTAGTATGCTCTTAAAATAATAGAGTTTTTAATTTATGAGTTCAAGGATTACTGGAAAGTATTGGGAATGGGAGTAGGAAGGGATTTGAATTGCTGTGTCAGTACAAATACCTCCCTAATTATGTTTTCTTAAATTTTGTTTTTGTTTAACCAATGTTTTGTTAGTTGTTATGTCAGTCAAGGTTCTCCAGAGAAACAGAATCAATATGAGAAATGTATAAAAGGACATTTGTGATGCAGAATTGGCTGACACAGTTATAGAGGCTAAGAAGTCTCATGATCTGTTGTTTGCAAGTTGAAGATCCAGAAAAACCAGTGTTGTAATTTGCGACAAGTCCAAAGACTGAAGAACAAGGGAAGCCCATGGTGTAGATTACAGTTTGAGGGCAGGAGGAGATGAGGTGAGATGTCCCAGCTCAGCAGTGAGGCAGAAATAAAAGGGGGCACATTTCTCCATCTTTAACTTTTTTTTTTTTCTATTCTTTACCTCAATGTATTAAATGATACTCAACCACATTGAAGAGGGTAATCTACTTTACTGAGTCTACTGATTCACATGCTAATATTATCTGGAAACATCTTCACAGACATAACTAGAGATAATGTTTAATCTGGGCACTCTGTGGCCCACTCAGGTTGACACATACAATTAACCATTACAAATGCAATCTCTTTATGTTGTATTTCCTTCAAACTCACTGTATCTTAATCAAAGCTGATGGGGTAATTGGTTTTTTTTTTTTGGCTGGAAGTAACAGAAACCAGTTCTGGCTGCTTTAGGCAGGAAAAGAAAATCCAAAAACGTATTGCATAGGCAAGCCTCAGAAAGTAGAAAAACAGGCCATCTCTGGGATGCTCAAGAATGTGATTTGGTCAATCAACCCCTTAGCATGCTTTCATTCGAATCCCTCAGCTCTCAAGACTCTACTCTTTCTATACAATTGGTTATCAAATTCAGGGAGCAAGACTCTTATTAACCCAGTGGAGTCCATGAAACTGCATTATAATATAGACACATGACTGTATTATAGTCCTGCTGAAAATCTAATCCCTCTTCAGAGGAGAAGGTAATTTTCAGAAGAAGAAGGCATTTTGAGTGTTAGAATGACGATCACATGCTAGAGAGGGTGGAGTGGTGAATGGAAAGGAAATGCCACAGCAGCATGTACCTGCTCTGGGTACACAGTACATCTAGGTTTACAGTAGCAGCATGGAAGAAAAAACACAGGGGTGTCAAAGAGCAAATACTATGTATCTTTTAAGATTTATCAAAAGCTGTCGTATCATAGTTCTTATATATCACATAGCTGGCTGGCAAACACAGACTTTATTCTAGGTGGCAGTGTTCCCTAGACTCATTACTGGACACTCATTACTAAAGAAGAAGGATAGAATTGATAATTGACATAAAGAACTGACAGTTTCTGCCATACCTGGGAAAGTAAATTTTCTGTATATGCATATACAAAGACATATAAACACGCATACATATGCATAAATATCTGGTTTTACCAGAAACCATAAAGACTGAAAAAAGTCACTTCATGATTTGTAATTAAATCCATATTTATCAATATGTTTACTGCAAATTCTGGTCTAGGGTGATGCATCATGAAAAGGAGAGGGTGGTCAACTCTTATGAAGAAATACTTTATATAGTAGCCCCCAGTACAGATTAATAATGCACATTAGCATGTTAAAAGTCATGGGAAGTTTCTGCAATAAACTAGCTTGCTTAATGTTAGCCAGAATATTTTAAATAGATCATGGAACCCAGTTTTTCTTCTGTAAATTCCTATCTTTATATATATATGTTTCGGAAAACATTGAGCTAGTAAAACCAAACTAGAAATCAGATTAAAGAATAAATTGTTAAATTCATAAATTTAAAAAGTATATTTTAAAAAACATAAGATAGTAACCATATTTTTGTGTTTAATCATATAAATAATATTTCTATAATATGCTATTGTTGAAAATACAGAATTACAAAGCCGAGAATAACTGCTTGGTTTTATATCAAAATTTTTATTTTATTTAAATAATTTGCGTAATAACACAATGATAATTTATTTCCAAATTATTTCAAAATCAAGCTTTTAAATATTAAATCTATACTTCCATTTAAAGCCAGCTGAAATGTCCAAACGTAGTTTAATATTACCTATACAAATTACCTGAAAAAGAGTTGTAACTGGGTGTTTATAGAGACAGCTCTAAGAATTTAAAAATGTTTGCGTTCATGCACTATTCTTTCTGCAAATCATTTGTCTTTAGTGGTCCTTCATCATTTTAAGTGTAAAAGTCTCATTGAGAAAGCTGTCCTTTAATTTTCTTTAACAAGATGGAAGGGTCATTAAGCTTAATAGGTCTTAAATGTCCCTGTACCTCACACCTTTGGAACTGACAAGGGAAACTGGTTTAGTGGTCTGAAAATTCTGAAGACGGTATTACATTAAATGTATGCTTTGTAATTGCTTGTGGCAAATTATCCTATTGATAGAGAAATATGTAGCCAAGTTCCATGTGGATATGAGTTCTTTGAACATTAGAAATGATTCTAAGTGAGTGTCTTCAAAGTAATCTTTTGAAATGGGTCAGCTATGTCTTTAGTTTGTAAATTACACAATATGTACTATTTCCAATCAGTGACCACTAGAAATCAAAGAATTCGTATATCAG